TTCTTCTTCTTCTTCTTCTTCTTCTTCTTCTTCTTCTTCTTCTTCTTTGTTTTTGTTGTTGTTTGTGACGTGGTATCTTTATATGCCCCTGGATATCCTGGAACTATACTACATGTAGATAAGCAGGCTGGCTTGAACCCAGACATCTGTCTGCCTCTGCCTCCCAAGTGCTGGGAATAAAACCTTGACCCACATTGTCCTTCTGTGAGTGGTATGTTCACTTACGTTTGGCTTTAAGAATTTTTTAATTTTCCTCCTAATTTCTCCAATAATCCACTGGTTGCTCAGGAGCAGTGTCCAAGTGCCTTTTCTTTGCATAGTTTCTAATTTTCTTTTGCTATTGGCGTTTAGTTTTATTTCACTGTGGCATTAGTAGATAGTAATAATTGTAATTGCTTTGTTTTAAGATATCATTTACCTTTTAAAAATATATATGAATATATATATTATATATATCATTCACATCTTTAAGACCAGTACTTGGGAAACAGCAACAGGTGGATCTCTGAGTTTGAGGCTAGCCTGGTCTATGAAATGAGTTCCAGACCAGCCAGGGCTGTTACACAGAGAACCCCCATTTAAAAAGAAAGAAAGAAAGAAAGAAAGAAAGAAAGAAAGAAAGAAAGAAAGACATAATTTACAGTCTACAATGTGATCTATGTTAGAAAACTCTCCATGGGCTGTTGAGAATATGTCTTCAAAATTTGTTTCTTTAAATATTTTTTCTTAAAAATCTAACATGTGTAGGCATTTTTGCATATATGTCTATCTGTGCACCACCCCAGTCTCTCCAGACGATTTGCAATAATAGTCTGGAGATCCCTTGCAATCTAACTTTTCACTTTTGTTCTTGACTTTTTTTTTTTTTAACTCTAGGTGATTGATCTTCTGATGACAGTGAGGCATTGAAGTCACCCACTGTTAATGTGTCTGTACTTGTTTATCTGTTCATGTCTAGCTATGTTTATTTTATCAAGTACCATAATTGGTGCATAAATATATATGTTACACCAAGTTCTCAAAAGGTTGTTCCTCTTAGTAATATGTTGCAACATATTTTATCTAATCCAATCTTGTGTAAAGTGTTATTTACCAAATATAACTATTACTGCTCATGGTTAGTTTTTGTCTTCTGGGTGCTTTGTGCATTGTCTTATATTTTTATTTTCAGTCTCTTTGTCAGTGACTTTGTTGAGGACAAAAGTCAGACTTAGCTTTCAACCCATGCAGTTGGTCCTTGTTTTGTAATTAGACAGCTCAGACTATTAGTAGACAAGTTTACTACTGAGGATTATTTGTTGATTCTGGTATTTTTGTTGTTTTTTGTTATGCTGGACTATTTGTTCATTTCTTTCTTCTATATTTTTTTTATTATGGAATTTGCTGTTTCAGTGAGTTGGACGTGAATGACTCTTCTCTGGTTCTCTTTAACTTACGTATTTTTTCTTATGTACCTATTATTAAGAATGCTTTTCTTCAAATGGAGCACGTTGATGCCTGGCTGTAACCCTCAAACTTGGGATTTGACCGAGACCATGCCCAACCTAAACTACATTAGATGTGGCCTCAAAACATCAACTGTTATGGGCAGTTGAAATGGCTCAGCAGAGAAAGGTATTTGCCGTCAAGTCTGACAAGCTGAGTTCAATCTTCAAGACCAAAGAGCAGAAGGAAAGAGCTGACTCCCGCAGTCCTCCTCTGACACCCACAGGCCCATCATGGGGAGCCTCCACAGACCTGACAGATAAAATGTAACTGGGTAGGGTTCTTCACGTGTCTTTTACTTGCTAGACTGAGTTGCCTATGCTGATGTGCTTTTGTTTCCCTGTGAAGTTTAAAAGGTGAAACCGTTGGACATGTGGTCTTGGGTACCAGTTATGTTTACCCAATGCCAGACATGTATCATTTTCTGGTTTCCTGGCTTTTCAGTTATTTGCTGGGAGCTGTGACAAAGTTCTGAGAGACTCCCCTTTCTCAGTGAATTGGCATCTTCCACCAGTGTCTTTTATCACTGATTTTTCACTTCATGACTTCTGCATTTAGACAATGATGTATCACAAAAAGATTTTTGTCACTTAAGGTTCTAAACACCTTCTGTGCTTGAATATCCATGTCTTTCCTTAAATTTGTGAAATTATATGCTACCATTTCATTGAATGGCTTTTCTATTCCTTTAGATTTCTTTATGCTAACTTGTTAGGGATTTACTTATTTTATGTGCTTGAACATTTTTTGTCTGCAGGTGTATATGTGTGTGTGCCTGATGAGCTTCCTATTGGGTCATAGTTAGCCACAGTGTGGAGGGTGCTAGGAACTGAATCTGAGTTCTCTGCAAGAACAGGAAGTCATCTTAACTGTTGAGCCATCTCTCCAGCCCTCCCTTAGGTTTCATGTCATGTATTCCTTCTATTTAGATTTATAGGTTTGTCCTCTTGCTTACACCCCCTGGTTCATGAAGGTTGTAATCATGTTTGTTTCTCCTTTAGATGTGTTTTTGGTTTTTGTTTTTGGTCTGGTTGTGTTTTTGTTTTTGAGCTGTGGTCTCACTATGCAGTGCTGACTGGTCTGAAAATCACTATGTAGACTATGCTATCATATAACTAACAAAGATCTACTTTCCTTTGTCTCCCAAGAGATGGGATTAAAGCTTGCACAACCATGCATAGACCCTGCCCCACTTCATTTTTTGAGACAAGGTTTCTATGGGCGAGGCTGGCCTCCACCCTTGTAGCTCAGGACAACTGAAAATTTCAGTCCACATGCCTTCACCTCCTCAGGGTGTGGCCTCTACCTCTGGATTGCATGTTACTGTGACTCAAACCCAGGACCATGTGCCACACAAGCCCTCTACCAACTGAGCCACAATCCTAGTACTCTCACATTTTGACCTCACCATTATATTGGCCTATTTATTTAAAACAAAACAAAACAAAACAAAAACTTTTTTTTTTCATGGCTAGGCTGTTGGCTCAGCAGCTAAGAGTACATTTTGCTCTTACAGAGGACAAATTAGAGTCTCAGCATCCACCAGGAATCTTACAACTGCTTGTATTTGGATGTTTATATGTCCGTCTATGCACATGCCTGTTATGCCAGTGACTGATACACCTACAATCTATTTTTGGTTTTTCTTTGTTTGTTTGTTCAAGATAGGGTTTTTCTGTGTAGCCCTGGGTATCCTAGGACTTGCTTTGTAAACCAGGCTGGTCTTGAACTCAGAGATACCCGTGCCTCTGCCCCCCAAGTGCTGGGATTATAGGTGTGTGCCACTGTGCTCAGCTTCTACTGTATAATTTATGCAGACTTTTGACCATGTAATTGAAATATTTAAGTGTAATAATTAAGTGTATATTTAAGTGTAATAATTAATTTAGGTGTGATGATGAAGTCAAATGAATTTCTCTTTAGATCTCATTCTCTCTGCTGGTTGTAGAAAGACTTCAGCTACTCATGATCTGTGTGATACATAATGTCCAATAAAGAAGAGGTTATTTTTGTATGGTAAAAAGGTCAGTGATGGGGCTGGAATGAGATGGCTCAGAGGTCAAGAGCACTGGTTGTACTTCCAAGGGTCCTGAGTTCAATTCCCAGCAACCATACGGTGGCTCACAACCATCTATAATGAGACCTGGTGGCCTCTTCTGGCATGCAGGCATACATGCAGGCAGAATGCTGTATAAATAAGTAAATTTTTAAAAAGTCAGTGATGTACTGATACACTTTAGTGTAGTGGTTCTCAACCTGTGGGTGGTGACCCCTTTGTGGGTTGAGCAACTATTTCACAGGGGTTGCCTAAAATCATCAGCAAACACGGATATTTGCATTATATCAATTCATAACAGTAGCAAAATTATAGTTATGAAGTAGGAATGAAAATAATTTTGTGGTTGGTGGTCACCACAACATGAGGAACTCTATTAAAGGGTGACAACTTAGGAAGGCTGAGAACCACTGCCTTTGAGTATACTTCATTTTTGTTCTATTCTATTTTTCTTTTATACATCACAAGGCCTGCTTGTTCCTAGGCTTTACCCACAAATGCATCATTTCCAATTGCTATCACATGATCCACTTCCTGTCCTTAGAAAGCACTCAGATGTGGTAAACTCCAGCCTATACCAGGCAAAAATGCAAGGCTACCACCATCTCACATCACACCAAAGGCCTCTGCAGGAGATCCTGTCCCTCAATCTGGGAAAGCATGAATAGGCAGAAGTCTGTGCAGACACTACAAGATCCTGTGTCATATGCCTCTGTTCATAAGGATAATTGTACTCCTTCTAGCAGGTATGAATATGGCTATACCTTCACGGTTAGAAAATTCTCACCCCAGGGCTGGAGAGATGGCTCAGTGGTTAAGAGCACTGGCTTTTCTTCCAGAGGACCTGGGTTAAATTCCCAGCACCCACATGACAACTCATACCTGTCTGTAACTCCAGCAGGCAAAACACCAATAAACAGAAAATACAAATAAGTTACATTTTTTTAAAAAGAAAAATCTCACCTCTTTAGAAAAAAGAAAGAACTTAAAAAAAAAAAAAAAGCAAGTTAACAGAAATGCCTAAGCTTAAAGAGAACAGCTGGGCATGCTGGCACACATGCAATCTCAATTCTCAGGGGACTGAGGAAGGAGAATCCAGAGTTTGAGGGCACCCTGGGATCAGGGGACCCTCTCCCAACATAAAAAAGGAAAACAAAATCCATAGGCTTTGACATTTTTCTCAGAAATATAAAAATCTTTCAAAACAGATTCACAAAACAAGTTTTTTTTTTTCTTTCTCTTTCTATTCTTGTGTGCGTGTGAGAGAGATACTATGCAGCACTGGAATTCATTATATAGACAAGGCTGCACTCAAACTCACAGATTCACCTGTGTCTCTGAGTTCTTAGACTGAAGACATGAGCCCCCACTCCCTTGCTTGGAAACAAGGTTGTGTGTGTGTGTGTGTTTCGTTTTGCTTTGTTTTGTTTTTGTTGTTTGCTTGATTTTTTTGTTTGCATTTTAATAAGCATACATAAAGACAAAAAAAGAAAAAAGTAATAATGAAAGAAAAATAGCAAAAAAGAAAATGTGTGTGCTGGGTGTGATAGCTCACATCTTTAATCCCAGCATTTGAGAGGCAGAGGATGTGGACTTCTGTGAGTTCTAGGCCAGCCTGGTCTACACAGAGAGTTCCAGGCTTTTTAGGACTAGACAGTGAGAGTATGTCTAGAAAAGGAAGGAAAGAAGGAAAGAATGAAGAAAGAAAGAAGAAAGAAAACTTGGATGAGAAGGACAGAGAAATTTCCCACGGTCTAACAGCAGCTGCTGTTCTTGCAGAAAACCTTGGTTTTATTACCATGATCCACATAGAAATTCACAAGGACCCACAAGGGTAGTGGACATGCCTGTGGTGCACACACATACATGGAGGCTCTAACACAAACCCACAAAATTAGGCAAATCTTTACAATAATACAAGAATAATGCAAAATTAACACTACAATGAATGCTACTGCAGAACTATTAAAATGATTCAAGTAAACACCTCACAACTTACAAATCATCAGGGGAGATGTGACAAACTGGCATCTGATATACTCCAGGAGGAAATGTGAAATGCACAACCACTTAGAACAGAATCTAGTAACTTTTTAAAAGATGTATTTATTATGCAATACAGTGTTCTGCCTGCATGTGTGCCTGCAAGCCAGAAGAGGGCACCAGATTTCATTATAGGTGGTTGTGAGCCACCAAGTGGTTACTGGGAATTGGACTCAGGACCTCTGGAAGGCCAGCCAGTGCTCTTAAGCTCTGTGTCATCTCTCTAGCCCTCATCTAGTAACTTTTTAAAAACTTAAAACATGGGCTGGAGAAAGGGCCCAGTGTGAGACCACATGCTGCTCTTGCAGACCTGGGTTCCATTTTCAAAAAACACACTGGTTCATAACCATCTGTAATTCTAGTTACGGGTATCCAATATCTTTTTTGAGCCTTCATAGTCACCAGGCATGTACTCAGGGTATATAACTATATGCAGACCAAATACTCACACCTGAAAACGCAACAAATACCTAAAACATAAAGGCTGCACTTTTACAGGAGAGCATATGGTGCTACACAGAGCTGTTCCCCTACAAAACTAGTGACACTTAGGAGCACAATGGTCATGAAGACCTTACAACAGTCATTCACGCCAGGGACTGCAACATTCAGTGAAAGAAAGAAAAGAAAAGCAAGTGAGCAGCCAAAACAACAACAAAAATATGTCTTATTTAGATGGAGACCACTCTGTTTCTGCCACATTCAAACTCCGTCACAGGGAAACTCCACTTCACACTGGTGTAGTCAAGAATGCAGGGTTTCCTCTTGCTAAATTCTCCAGAAGGCATTAAGTCCTTAGGAATTGGAAGATGGCAATAATCATCTTGTCCCAATGTTCTTATTTGATGAGTAACTTCCAATGGCTGGCTTCTTCACAAAGGCCACTCTCAGGACTTCTGTTAAAGTCAGGTTCACTTCCACGGCTTGGCAAGGTTGGCCAGTGGCTGAAGTCTCTCTGCATCCTCTGCATTCACAACCCTATCTGGGCCATGTGTCTGTTGCTATGAGCAGACCTTTGCTCAAGAGCCTTCCCACAGTCAGTGGGTTCATGATGTATCCCAGCACCATGGCCTCTTCAGTTAAACAGGATAGAAGTGTGTGTGGGGGGGGAGACATTCTTGATTTTCTTCCAGTGAACATTCTCTTGCATGGATAGGGTAGATCATGAAGATTTCCCATGTTCACTGCCCTCACTACTACTTTCGGTATGAGTCTTCCGGTGTCTAGAAAGTCCAGTCCTGTAGCAAAACACTTTCCCACATTCCTTGCACTCATGATGCTTGGCTGCAGTGTGAAATCTCTGATGTTTAATGAGGCTGTACTTCGCAGTAAAGACTCTCGCACACACATTACACTTAAAAGGTTTTCCTATGCTGTGAACTTTTAGGTGTTTCGTGAGGTGCGAGTTCTTTTTAAAACACTTCTTACATTCCCTGCACTCAAAAGGTCTCTCTCCAGTGTGCGCTCGGGCATGATAAACGAGGCTGGACCTTTCCTTAAATGATTTCCCACAGTCACTGCATTTGTAAGGCTTCTCTCCAGTGTGAACCCGATAGTGCTGCATGAGGCTAGACCTGTTCATGTATGAATCCCCACACTGGTTGCACTTATATGGCCTTTCTCCAGTGTGAATTCTCTGATGCCCAACAAGGGAACGGTTATGTTTGAACTCTTTCCCACATTCACTGCACTTAAAAGGCTTTTCTCCCGTGTGAACTTTACAGTGTTGATTCAGATCAGCATTTTGGATGAAGGACTTCCCACATTCGCTGCACTTAAAAGGCTTTTCTCCCGTGTGTATCCTCCGGTGTCGGATGAGCAGAGACTTACAACTGAAGGCTTTGCCACAGTCGCTGCATTGGCATTTTCTCTCCTTACTGGGCGAGGTCTCTCCTCTCTTGGTGCTCCTGGGTGGCTCCCCATGACTGCGAGTCACAGGATTCCTGACAAGACCTGAGGGAGTGTTGTCTGTGCTTTCTAAAGTCTTCTTGGACAGGTCACTTCTGTTGCTCTTTGTAACTGGAATTCTGTGCTCTGTTCTCCGTAAGGGTTTCTCAGAACGGCCCAGATGTTGGCTTTGAAGCATGGTTGCATTAAGCCCTCCTTCCGAAGAAATGCTCTGCTCACAAGATATCTTTTCAACCTCAACTCCTTTGCAGCAACACAGAAACAGAGAAACAATGATAAAGGACATGGAGACTTTAAATGGCAACACACACAAGTACTCAGCACACAGGATTTCTCACAGAAACTTCAAAATGGGAAGGGACTATGATAGTGATGAAGCTGGAAGGTCCCGTCCCAGGAAACATGACAGACAACAACATGAGAATGACATGCAGGAGTGCTGGGGACCTAAACTCCTTCCTCAGAAAATGGCTTTCTGCAGAGCCTCAACTGTTGGACACCGTCTGATTAGGTTTTTTCTTTCCCCCCTCTACTTGACACAAGTTAGGGTCATCTGAGAATAGGGAACCTCAGCTGGAAACATGTCTCCATTAAATAATCAAGGGTCATTTTCTCAATTAATGATTGGTGTGCATGAACCTAGCTCACTGTGGGTGGTGCCATCACTGGCCAGGTGCATACATCAACAACTTCCACCCTCCAAATACCTGTCCACTTACTTGGAGTCAAGAATCTCAGTGCAGGGATGAAAGGATATCCTGAAGACTCCAGCTGAGTGATGTCACAGGTTCCAGAAGGTATGAGTCCTAAAGTAAAACACAGGAAAGGTTAATGTCCCATTCTAAAACAGTGATTCCTATGGTAATTCATAGGAATAAAAGCTAATGACAAAGACCCACTTGTAGTGGTATGAATGAAAGTGTGCCCCATAGACTTATAGGGAGTAGCACTGCTGCAGGTGTGGCCTTGTTGGAGTGTGTGTGGTCTGATTGGAGGAAGTGTATCACTAGGGATGAGTTTTGAGGTCTCAGATGCTCAAGCCAGGCCCAGTATCTCACTCTCTTCCTTCTTCCCATTGATCCAGATATAGAACTCTCAGCTACTTCTCCAGCACCATATCTGCCTGCATCCCTATGTATCCCACCATGATGACAATGAACTAAACCTCTGAACTGTAAGCCAGCCCCAACCAAATGCTTTCTTTTATAAGAGCTACCATGGTCCTAGTGTCTCTTCACAGCAATAGAAACTCTAAGACACCCCTGGAAAGGTCTTGCAAGAAAACCCACCAAATATTGTCTATATCAGTGCCACAATTTCTGCCACAGGCAGACCCAAGTCACCTAGAGGAAGAGAGCAATACCTGGGTCATAGGAATGACAGGAGTATTTAGTTTCAACAACCATGGGGAGACAATCAGTATGAACTCTATTAAACTACGATAAGATTTCTCTCCCCAGGCCACCTCCTGTGTGTTTGCTGTACTTAAGGGAGAGAAGATGGTTATGTACCATGACCAGGTCTCTCACTGGTACTTCCTACTCCAAGACAGTGGGGAAGGAATCAATGTTCATAGGCCAGATTTGGGAAGGAGACACTTCTCTCTCGAAAAGGAGCCAAGCCCACCCAGACAGGATGTTCTTATAGAATGAGCCAGGTGTGGGGTGAGGGGAATCCTTACCCAATGAGGACATGAGAACAAAGACCTCCATCATCACATGGTGGTATAGATGCCTCTGAGAGTCATCAAGTAGTGTCCATTCCTCCCTCAAGAAGTAGATAGCCACGTCATTAAAGGCCACACAACCCTGTCACAACAAAGAACGTTGAGTTAATAAGAAAAACTCCCCTTTCCTCCCCTTTGGACTTCAAAGAAGCAGCCAGTCCCATTTAGCTTCCTTCTTCAGAGGGCACCAGGCTCTACATCCACTCAGTCGCTACTCAAGGTTGCAATGAGCACGGTATTCAGCACCTACCACAAATGGTAGGTGCACAAGTGAAATTTACCTAGTCTTGATGTTTGGCATGGAAAGTTCCACCTTTCTACCAGACAGTTCCTCTACATTATGCCAACCAGATTATGTCCAGAGTTGAGTCCACTATACCCCTGGGATATGAGCTGGGAGTCCATCTCTTCTACTTTCTGTCACCATGCACATCACTCTTCATAATGTCCCCCCATTTTAATTTTAGTATTCAAGCCTACAGCTTCGCATCTACTGCACGACTCCCAGCTGCCTATTCCACCATGTCCAGCAGATCTCAAGCACCCCAAGGGCGTTTGAGCATTCTTAATCCATCTCACTTCTAAGCATTTTCTAGTAGTCATCACTGGAACTTGAATACCTCTGAATCTTAAGAGAGTGGCTTCCATAAATGAAACCTGTCCATATAGCTCCTGCTCTGGACTTGAGACCTTATATTCTATCATCATTTTCCATTAAAATCGGATAGGAGAACAGCTAGCAAAAAGTCTCAAAGCACTGTAATCCCAAACATCGCTTGCATGGGAATTGAGAAGTGTGAGTTCCTGTGGCACCCTCCACTTACCTCTCCATGGTCAGTAGATGTCTTTGCACTTACTGGAATCTGTGAATAAAGAAGGCTATGAGTGAAAAGCCTCCCGCTCCCCTGAACAGGTCTTGAATCCACAGGGCTTCCCCAGGCTCTTTAGTGGATGTGCCCGAGGACCCTACGCCTTTGAGAAATTCCGACTAAGAGCCCAGCCCTGGTTGCACTCTAGGACTCGTGGTGGGGGGTACAGGGGAGTGATCACGTGTTACGCACCTGTGCCTGGGGACCCTGTCCAGCTACAGCAGTCTGACTCTGCTGGACAGGTGGGTCCATGGCTGTCCTCCCTAGGCCTGCAGCCAGTCACACGGGGTCGTCGCAGACTTCAAGCCTGGTTCGGTGCCAGAGAACAAAGCCTCGCTTCTCTCACGCCTTCCAGTCCTGGACCACCAGGGGTAAAAACTAGTTTTCCATTGACCTGACCTGAGCATCGAGGAAGACAATTACTTGCTGGCAACCACTAAGTCTTAAAGCTTTCCCCCGCCCCGCCCCGCCCCGCCTCCTTTTTTTCTTTTTCTTTTTGTTAAAGCCCAGGGAAACGCCAGTTTTCATTGGCTGAGCCCTTCTTTGCTGTCTCTTCTGGGTAATGTAGTTCAGAAAGGATGCACCCTGGAAACCTGGACACTGCAGCGGAGGTATAAGCTGATGAAATGGCATGCAAGGAATTAAACGGAATGCTGTGGACAAGCGCCGAGCTTACGGAGACACCAGTGTTTCCATTTCCATGATCATCAAGCCCACAGTAAGGTGGATGCCTGGGTCTGAATCTGGTATTCATTCCCAAATTTCCCTGCTTCAATGGCAACAATGCCTTATCTGATGTGTGAAAATGTGAAAACAGTCCGAATTCTAGAAACAGGTCTCCGCAATTCCAAGATGCACTTTCCATTCTCCTCCACCTGTATTCCTGTTTTTTCTCGTGGGCCTATCAGGTGTCCATTATGGCAGGGCGAAAAGCCCAGATCTATAAGACACACACACACACACACACACACACACACACACACGCACGCACGCACGCACGCACGCGCGCGCGCGGTCCCCTGCATCCTTTCCTCTTCCATTTCCCCACAGTTTCACTGTTTTCATAGGTGGGAAGGATGTTTCGGATGCTGTGAATAGAAGAGATGCTAAGTCTTCATTGTATGTTATTTTGCTGCCTTTGATTCCACTTTCATGTCTCTGCTCTCTCGACTCTCATCTCTGCACAGAGTAATGATTAACCTCCGAAGGTTTAAGGAGACTCCAGAAAGCAAGAGATAATAAAAAATTTCTGCCATTCTGGAACATTTCACAACTTGATGGTGAATGTTGATTCTGGGAAAGGTGGGATTCAATATTGTTATTGACCATGTGAATGGTAGAGAAAGGCCTAACATTTTTGTCCTTTCTGCACCGGTCATCAGTTTTTATTCAGTCTCCTTTCTGTTGGGCCACAGTGTGCTATGAGGAAGAGGTGATGAGGTGTTATTGGCATGGTAAAGCACTGGAACAAGGGGTGGGGAAACCTTCTCCCTTCTTAACTCAAGAACAGGAGATAAACCATAAAGCTGGGTGTGGTGGCACAGGTCTGTTATCTTAGCACTCATGGGAGGCAGAGGCAGGCAGATCTCTGTGTGTTTGAGGCCAGCCTAGTGATCTACATAGTGAGTTCCAGGCCAGCAAAGTCTATATAGAAAGATAATGTCTCAAAAACCAAAATTAGAAATTTAAAACAGTAATAATGACAACAATAATAATGATAATGAATATGAGGAGAAGGAGGAGCTGGCTGTTGTTGCTGGTGGTGGTGCACACCCTTAATCTCAGCATTCAGGAGCCAGAGGAGGGCAGATCTCTCTTAGTTCGAGGCCAGCCTTGTCTACAGAGTGTGTTTCAGGCCAGCTGGGGATATATAGAAAGACCTTTTTTCAAAAACCAAAGTAATAAATATAAAATAATAACGGTAACAACAATAATAGTAACAGCTGAGTGGTGGTGGTGCACGCCCTTAATCCCAGCACTTGGGAGGCAGAGGCAGGCAGATCTCCATGAGTCTGAGGCCAGCCTGAGGCCAGGACAGCCAGGGCTACACAGAGAAACTCTGTCTCAAAACCAACAATAACAATTATAATAATCAAAATAGATAAATCCTTGTCTTGAAATATATTAGAAAAGTAGATGCTAGAGTATTCTTCTAATGTTAGCCATAAAGTGGAGCTGGCCACCGTGACATGAACAATTATAGATAAATCTGATACACATATTATAAAATATGGCCATAGCAAAATTCATAGAGTATAGTAAAAGCTACAGGAAATTCAGAATCTGAGGATAAGAGAATATCGCCTAGAGAGATCAACATGGGTAGTAG